TCTGCACCCCCCCCCCAAAAAAAAAAAAATTGTAACCTAAAAATGTTAGATAAAAAAATGTAACATCTCAAAAAAATGCTTATAATCGAAAGAAAAAAAAAAAAAAAAAAGCAAATGTAAAAAAAATTCATATTTTTTTAAATAAATATATATAATAGCACAATATAAATGCTGTTAATTTTTTTAGCAAAAATGTTGTGAATGTCTGGTGACCCAAGCCTCAAAGCAGTGCTTCACTTTCAGCGCGGATTGGCCCCTCCTCCCTTTCCTACCTCCATGCGTTGTCGTGATGGTACAGACATTATAACAGTTCAGGTTCCTTCCTAAAGACCACATCTTATAGTAGTGTAGGAATTCTCTGGTAGACTTCCTTGTTTAACGTCTGACCATCTGGTATTAATTCGCATGTTGGTCAAAGTGCATGCAAAGTGTTGACGTGAAGGTTTTTGAATTTTCGGCGATAGCGGGCACTTTAAAATTGCTTCGCGGGCGCCTTGTTGCCAACTCGTGCTGTGAGTCTTAAATCCGTGCAAAACAGCCTTCATCCATACTAATGTATGTCCTGTTCTATTTGTGGATTTCCGCCAAAAATTTTCAGGTATTATATTTCAATGAAAATATCCATTTTGACCGCTATCGAATGCAATTTAACGATGTTTTTGCGTGACATCTGTACGTAAGGATAGAATAAAAGACTCTTTTCCCAAAAAAAAGTTATAAAACTGACTCAGAACGTTGAAAATTTGTATATAGGACTGCTATAACATGTAGATGTGCACCTCGTATTTTGGTTACAATCGGCAGCACCAAACGTATATAAATATATGTATACATAATATATCCCCTCTGCTAACCGGCTCAGTGATCTCAGTTTCTTTACTCTTATATGTTTGGAAATTATGCATTTTTTGCTTTAAAAATGATTGAATTATGTTTTTCTTATCTTCCGGTGAAGGTTTTTTATTCCTTTAGTAAATCTGCATGCAATAGTTGTTGAGTTATCAACAATTTAAAAGTTGTTTAAGTGCAGCTAAGCCTAAATGGTTTGCGATGGCGGACGTGTTTGTTTACATTTTAAACTTGGCAAAATAGCAGATTTGTTGCCAATCTAGAGAAATTAAGCTTCGCAACAACAAAGAAAACGCCTTCTTTTATTAATGCGAATTAAATCATGTTTAATCCATTCTGGAATTTATTCGAGGAAATAAGTGATTTACTTCGCAATTTTTAATACAGATATTTTGAGTTTTTATGTATTTTTGCCTTGTCACGAAGTGAGAACTAAATTAATTGAATGAGAAATACTAAATCGTCTGTGAAAAACTTTTTTTTTGTTTGTTTTGTTTGCTTAATTTCTTTTATACATCGTTTGAGATTTATTGTAGTATTTTAAAAGAACATGTGGCAACTATTAGATAATTTTTCAGATGATATAAATTTTGTGCATTCTAAGTTATAAAATCAATTTAATGAACTCATTCTTAAAAGGATTTATTGTATTTTTTGATTGTACAAAATGATATATTAATTATACTTCAAATACTGATTATAGATTTTCGAACCTATCACAATGCTTTATTAAGTCACGTGATACGGCTCAGTAATCTTTTGTTAACGCTGCTCATCCCAGTCTGATTAGAACTCTTGCTACTCTGCACGTCAAAACTGCTACTCATCAGCCAGCACCTACTCTAGTTTTAAATACGACCTGATTATGCACATTTAATTGATTATGACTTGAACTCATGTGTATCATTTATGATCGGTAACTTTCCTAAGACTTGCCACCTTTGACCAGAATTTCGTCTGCGAGCGCGGTGCTCTACGCACCACTGATTTATTACACAACCGCGAACTGCCTCTGGCACTATTTGAAAAGAATGGTAAAAACTCTTTAGTAGTTGACACCATAATTGAAGTGACGATTCCTAAATTCCTTATAAAATGAATGAAACGTAACTCTATTAAATGAACCTATTGCCAGAGTGTGGCTGCGGTAAACAAATATAGTGAATTTTAAAGAGTGCATTTATTCTATTGTGGTTTATGCGCTATCGGTGAAGTAGATTTAATTCAATCCAATAAGTTTAAATGAAATGCAAGGAAGTCATGTGGTGTACACATCGGATTTTTAAAATTAATTTTATCATAGGTAAACCGAGAGCAAAATTTACACGTATGATTTAATTTCTACAGGATGCACTTACAGTATAAACATGAAAACTAAAAGATTACATGGATAAACTACTCATAACTTCCAATATTCTCAATTCATACTCTCAATATTATTTATTTAAAAGAAACCCGAATTCTAATATTAATATTGTAGTATTTACTAATAAGATATTTTCTTTTCTACTTTCTTCTCTCCTTGAATCTTACCCATTCTTACTGTTGGCCGTTGTAACTTCCTTGGTAATCATTCAATGCTGATGGAACTGCTATCTGTAGCGTATGCTACAGGTTGCACAGGTTAGAAGTTACTGCTATCGTTATCGTTTTCATCATCTTCGTCAAAGTTCTGTTTCCCCACGTGTTATGATCTTCAGAACCATCACGAACATTATGGAGTTATGACATTTAATAACGCTTAAGGTTAAGAGAAACTTTCTCGAGAAACGAGTTTCTTCTTCTACTGGAGAATTCCTAGGCGAAAAACATTCGCTGGAACCGATGTCTTAACTAGCTAAGCACCACATTTTGCAATTGAAATGAAATTTTTCGCCTCATACGTTTCTCCAAAGAATTGGTTTTCAGTCAGATACCAAGTAAGTCAACCAATCAGATATCCGAATGCGAAAATTCCCGGTAATGTTTCTTTCGATGCACTCTTGCGGGTGGGTAGTAGATGATACCAGTTTCAGATATCTCTGCTGATTCATCTTTTAGCATGTTACCATTTAGCATGTTACCATAGTCTGTTAATTTAAAATAGGCACTTCGCACAAATCGTAACGACTCTCTGCTCATTTATGATCGTAACGTGTGCCGTTAGCGAAGAAACTGCGGAATTTTAGCAAATTAGGAAATTTGAACTTTTTCTGCAGCAGTGGTTGCCATGATTGTGAATCATGATTTTTGAAGGAGAAGAGAAATGTCCTTGAAGTGCCTATTCTAAACAGATTATAGTGAGTCAAAAGGCAGAGATTCGGTAATTCGTGCGGGTTTGTACTTGTTAGAAGACAGAAGAAGCAATTATTACGTTAATGAATTAATTTTAAAGTTAGTTCGCTAGTTAGAAGTTCGCTTTCTGAGCGCCTTGAAAAAAGTGAAAATTACGTGAATATTTAAATTTATTCTGAATCTTGAGTTAAAAGCCAGGTGAAAATACAAGAATAAATACGGTATAAGTAAAAATCGACATGTTAATTTTCTCCTTGTATTCTAATAAGCTACAATTTAAGGTTGAAAAGCTTATTGTGATCAAACAATCTGTGATCCAAATTCGAATTCTGGAAACGCAAATTGCATCTCACAGAACCAATACTGTATTAAATTATCCCTCGTATGCATAACTCAGAAACGGCCATGCGGTAAAGGCAATGGACACTCTGCTTAGTTTCAGGAAATCAGGCTGGCTACAGGAATGTTTTCGAGATTTTCCGCAAGTGCAGCAATGTTTTCGAGATTTTCCGCAAGATGCGAGTCGGTTTCTCTTATAAAATTCTCCACGGAAGCATCACTGCTCTCATCCTCAGTATATTGCTCTTTAGGTAGATAGCCCAAACCAAATCAAACTCTCGTATGTGCAGAATTGCTGACCATAGATGCCTATAAAGCTTTTGAAGTGCATTATTGAGGGGAAAATGATTTCTAACTGCGCATCATTTCTACAAGCTAAAATGCAGTTTTTGATCATCAGATATATTTGATATGAACTTTGACAATAAGATGAATGTACCGGTAAGCTAAAAATTATTTTAAAGAATATTTTTCTGTATCAGTTTAAGTCTTTAAAGATCACTTCTTTTAGTTTGCCATTAAATTTTATATATTCTTATAAAACATAGCAAAAAAAAAAAAAAAAAAAAAAAAAAAAAAAAAGAAAAGAAGATTCTAAAATATTTTAACTTCCAATATTCTTCCTTTTTCCACAGCTGAAATATTTTTACCATTAATTAAACGCGCTGTTTTTATTTTGCGATAAACAATATCCGTCGAAAACAGGTGTAGTGAATCAATGATGCAGAAGATAATTTATTTTCTATGTTACAAAATTTCATTCCTCATCGGGGCAAGTTTATCATTGAAAAACTCATTTTAGCTGGTCCTCGTAGTAGCAATTCGAACTAAATATTATTATTATATATCCCGAGTGTCATAAATAAAATAGGTTTCTGAACAGCCTATAATAGCTCCAGTTACTTCTTGCGTACGCTATCGTTTTCATCGAAAATAAAAAGTTAAAATTGTATAGTTATGATGAAAGTTTTTAGTCATGCATAGACTAAGCCGTGATATATTACAAATATTTACAATACATACGATAATTACTTGCATATTCCTCCCTCCACGTATTTCCTCTTAGCTTTTTAACGCAAGGTCCTGATAAATTTTAAGCATTTGTGTAATTTTCTCTTCACGGCGTTCAGAAAAAGAACTCTCCAGTGCTCCAGTTCGAACTACCAGTGTTCAGCGACTTTCCTGACACGAACGGGACATTTGAACAAACTGCTAGGATAGTAAGAAACCTTTAGATCGTTATCACAATGCTTTATAAATAGATGAATCATTAAATTATAACCAAACCAGTAAACAAATAGAGAAATTAAGCTAACTGAAATCATCTCTGATTATAAAACGCTATACTTTGAAATAGATAACGAATCTGCTCTCCAGTCGATCCTAATTTCTTATAAATTTTTCCGAGTTTTAAAATTTTTAAGGGTATATTTTTATTTTCAGTATTTACAAAACTGCAAAATATTTCTGAAAATCTGCAGAACAAATTTTCAGATATGTGAATTCATGAGCTAGATTTTTCATTCCCAAACTTAAAGACTGTGCGATTGCATGCACCAAAACATTATTGTTTATTTACGTTGTCATAAAGGAAAGGTCATAACATAACTTTTTGATTTCAAATGGATAACATTACTAATGTGAAAATTGTTGAGTGTGATGAATCAATGTACCTAAAACCGGCTCGCATGTTATATGAACAGGTGAGGTCTTATTTGTCATTAGTCAACTGAGAATCCATCTGTACTGTTAGGAATAGGACTGAATTTACCGGGTTTTTTAATTTGTGTAATTTAGGAGCAAAGGAAACTTCTTTTTTAACCTATGATATTTGTTGGAGATTTTAGAAATACATTTTAGGCCAGATTTGCTAAAGTATAAACGAGCTGACATCATACAAGATAGCTAGAATAAAATATATGGAAGACGCCCATTAATGCGATTATATTTGTCCATGCCTGTTTTGCTATAGTGGTTCACATTTGTTTTCGGACATTTTCATTTTATTTTCAAATATTAGTTACTGCATCTTAGCAAAATGACTATTTTTCTTTCACATATACTTTTTATTATCTTTTTAATGTTCTGCTTGTTTTGAAAAACGTTATTCAAAATGTTTTTGGTAGGAAAAGCAGTTTATTGAAAACATTGTGAAAATGAACTCGCATGAGAATTAGAAACTTTGTGTATATTTAATGAAAATATGAAAATAACCGGTTATTCAATATAACATTGAATATTCTTTAGCTAAAATTACTTTTTTTGGGTGCTTTTTGACATGGATTCAACTAATATTTTCATATAACAATGCTTCATTTTGTTCCGTTCCTTCATAATAATTTCTTTTAATAGAGCTTTTGAAGAAATGTCATATCTTTATTCTTTTCTCTCACTCCATACATGTTCGAGAGGGTTTAAGTCCATAGAATATGGAGGGGTTTTGATAACTTCAGGACAGTTGTAATAATCATGAGCAAACATTTAGGCCTCTATGTTTAGGATTGTTATACATGAATTTATTTTGCATTCCAAGTTTTCGTACAGATGCTTTGTGGTTGTCTTTAAAAGTGTTGATATATTTATACTGATCCACATTATTTTTTTTTTATAAAAACTAAATTGCCCATTCAACACAAAATATACTGCGTTCTTGGTTAAATCTATGTCAAACACAAGGTTGTTGCTTTGGCGTGTTTCTCTTCTGTCTTTAGAGGATCACTAGTAGCCCTTCCCTTTTTTAAGAATTTTTTTAATGCTTTACATTTGTGCATACGATATTTTTCATATGGAAAGTCCAAATTCTTAATTTCACTTTGGCATTGACGCCAACCTGGTAAACCGGGGACTGCACCTTGCAATTAATGCAACCACCTTGGTGCAATTTGGTGATTTTTTATGGAAAAGGCATATATTGATTGGGTACAAACTTGGTGATTTTCATGGCAGTTTTTAAAAATGATTCTGAAACTATCAGTATTTATCTAAGTTGACAAACATTATCAAAATACAAAACGTCAGCAATTTTAACTGTTAAATAAGCATTTCATGATACATTAAAAAATAAGACACTTCCATTTGTCTCCAAATCTTTCTGTAATTTTCGTGTGGTTTTCTTTTTCCTAAGTACACAGTGATCTATTTTCACTTAAAAAAATCAGAGAATTACAGAGACTCTTTGCCCAAATCTGAGCAGTACCAGCTATCTACCAAATGCATGTTTGTGCTGTTCTCTGTACAGATTTTGACACAAAATTCTGTATTCTTTCAGAAATTTTACCAAAGTTAATTCCATTGCTGTCAGATCCTATAACCACATATTTTAAAACCAAGTTTAAGGTAAAAAAATATTATGGTTTATCATGGTATTGGAACTTAGAATACAACAAAAAGAATGCATATAAAACTGATGACATTACATCACTGAAGGATGGTTATGTGCATGGTTGTCAGAGTGCGACACATTATGAAAATTTGGTGAGTTCAGCTAAGGGGGTTGCGATAACATATATGTACCATGAATCATTATTTATTATTTTTTTCATCATTTCTTTCTTCATTGACTGTTCAGGTTGAAAAGTGATGTCTTAACATATATATATTTAATGTTAGTAACTGAATACCAAAGAGCATGATAACCTTTTATGTTTAATTTTGCTTGATGATGATTACAGACTTTAGCTTTTTCTTCTGTGAAGTGTTGAGTACACTGATGAGAAGAAAGTTAATGGAAATTTCTTTCTATATGCAAAAAATAGATTTTTTTAAATGATATCCATAGGGCAAAAGATTACATTTAGTGCTTTTTGAATTGAGAATAACTAACTTATAATTCAATTAAGCCCAGGACTAGCCGGTGTTGCTGCCAAAGGAACAGAATTTAGGGAATGAAAAATATTTATAATTTAGAGAAGCATCGAGCAGCAAAATTAAGGGATGGCAAAATCTTAAGAATTTAGGGAGGTCACTAGGATGTGAAATTCGGAAGGGGGGAGGGGCAGGAAAATTTTTAGAATTTAGGTAGGCATTTGACAACAGAATTTTCGTCTGGCAGAGACTGCACTGGGCTGTAAAATGTACAGTGCCAGCCCTGGATCCGCTTCAAGTATATTTGGGAATTTATTTATTCGGGACTCAGATAAGCCTTAAGCATGTATAGGAAATAGTCATAAGTATAATAAGTAACTAAACTGATTTAGGCCTAGTTTCATTAGCATGCAATAAAAGCAAGACAAAACTTTGAGGGAAAACATATCTTTAATTCTCATTCTCATTATACATCGCGAATAGCGTATAGCAAGTGCTAGCTTAGCTTTATGACGATACAATAGAAGACCAGAAATACACAATGTTCAGGACCAGAGGTTGTGCGGATTTTAGAATTTTGTAGATTTTGGGACAGAAAAAGTAAATTATAGTATTTAGAATAAAAATGCAAAACAAATAAGGAAATACACAATAAAGATATGTGAAAATAAGGAGCATTAATAAAGCATAAAATATTACTTTTTTTTTTTTTTTTTTTTTTTTTTTTTTGCGTGTTTCAAGCATTATCAAGATAAAGGTTCGTTTTAAAACTTTAGGGTTTTTAGAGTAAGTGTTTTCTCGTAGACTATATAAAGTTGTCAATATTCTCCTCTGTGACATATCTCATGTTGTTCTAAAAATTTTAGGTATTTTTCTACATGTTTTAAATCTTCATTAAAAGATAATTTCTTACTCCTATCAAATTCACTATCTGTGTCAGTGTCAGAATCGTTGGCTGATCTTTAGAATACAGTAACTGGTAGTTTGGCGACGATAAAGGTTACTAGCTTTGGTAATAATGTGAGCAGTACTCAGTTCCGATTACGCATTATTTTGTGTGAGGGAAATGAGAGATCATGGGATATGTCGTGATGTTCATGGACGAATTACAGTTCTTTAATCGGAAAAGGGGGGAAATCGGGAAAAAACCTGGAAATTTTGTATTTGGCTTTATTCTGTGATGTGTGAAACAGTGTTCGTTAATTTTTGGATCCCATGGCCCTAACTAAAGTGAATTCGAAATGGGTATTTAGTGGGATTGAAAGGGGTAGTAATAAGTGTTTCTTTAAGGTTGTGTGAGATAGAAGTAAAGATGTTTTATTAAGTTATTTATTTTACTTGGTATCTTGGTGTGAACTATAAGTATGATTTTAAAGATCCTGAAACAGAAATAAGAAATGTTTATCGGACACGTAATCAAGATTCTGAAGAAGAATAGGTAAGTTAGTATTTTTAATTATTTGAGGATATTATTTTTATGCATTGTTCTAAATGTAAGGTGGAAGTTAAGTAATTTGCGTAAACGTGCATGGAAATAATTTAAATATTTGACACTAAGTATTTGTAACCATTTGTAATGTTGCGGTATGAATTAGTTAGTGATGTTTGTAATATAATAGATAATGTAGAGGTAAAAGTTTTTGGATATTTTATTTATTTTATACGGGGAAATGTTCATATTTGGAAAGGGTATACAGTCAAAAGTCGTTAATCCGGACTCGTCGGGACTTCGGCGATTCCGGATTATCGATTTTTCCGGATTATAGATCATCAGTTTAAATCTGGTAAAATGGCATGCAGAAATTATAAAATTAAAAATATGAAACTGTAATTTACGAAATAAAGAACAATTATGATCTAAAGAGTATCAAAATTTACAAAAAAAAAAAAAAGCTTAATATTTATTTGTTTACTTTATTAAACATTTCTTTCAATGTAAGTTGTTTAAGTTGCTTCGTTTTTTATGTAATAATACATTCTCTTTAATTCTATAAACAGACATAATTTCTTGTTCAGTTAAAATATTCCGCTGTTCAAGTCCTATAATTGCTGTGTCGAGAATACTGACTAATTTGTCAATCGAAATTTTTTCGTTTTCAATAATCTTTGTCACTTTCTTCGCTATTGGAAGCGAATTACAATGACGAGGCATTTGATTTAAATCATATCAAAGATGGAGTACATCGAGATGAAATACTACATTGAGTAAGCAATTATAAGCCAAATAAAATAAAACATCTGCCCTTAAGATAAGGATAGTGCTGACAGATCAACTTCCAATTCATTGCAGGCTGCGGGGCGTTAAAGATAAACAAAGTTTAGATAAACAAATGTTAAAGTTTAGATAAACAAACGTTAAAGTTTAAATAAGCAAAGGATATGCCTTTATCCATTTTTTGCAGCAATTCCACTTTTTGTTTAATGGACTCCGAAAGATACTTTCGCTTTGTATATCCTTTACATATTAGTAAATATATATTGGAAATTCTATTTGACATAATCGAAAGTTCAAGCTTACTTTTATAAAATTGCTCTAACAGTCTGCAAAAAATAATAATCTGGATCCAACTCGAAGATTAAGGAACAACGCAATCTGCAACATTAACTGAAATAGATAATTAGATAATTTTAGCTTAGCTTATCCCGTCCGTTATACATTAAAAGCGCATTCGTAAACGTATTTTGCACACGCGCATACGCAAATTCGCAGCGGTAAAGGTCTTACGCGCAAGCGTCAACGTGACGCATGCACAGAAAGTTTGTAGCTTTGAGGTCCGGATTATAGATCATTCCGGATTATGGGTGTCCTAATTAACGACTTTTGACTGTATACTTTTTCGCGATCAGGTAATTTCATATATGTTCTTTTTACCAGGTTTAAAGATTCAGAAAATTGCTATGCATTTTCGTGAAATTTTTCTAATTTATGAGAAAAAAGCAGTTTAGGTTGATCTTTACATTACGGTAACTTGGCGATTTTTTGGCGAAAATTTGGCGACCAACTCCCCTACAGCAACCCTCTATTTTTTTTTTCCCCGCCGCCATTTTGTCTTCACGAAGTAAAGACATGTTTCTTTTCTTCTTATCTACTGAACACTTCTTCCAATAATCTACTAGCCGAATTACACTTATGCTAGAAATTTTATCAAACAAAACTGCTTAATCATGACAAATATTCACTGCAAAATTCGGAAAAAGTGCACAATACCATACACCTTACGCGTTTTTCAAAATAACACATACACATAAACCATGTACACGCCGACTTATTTTTACTTAAAAAAACATCCCAGAATTGCACAAAAATGGCATTGCGCACACTCTTCACTATATCCATGTACACTGCTTTTTTCTGATAAATTCGAAAAAATTTCACGAAAAACATGACAATTTTCTGAATCTTTAAAAACCCGGTAAAAAGAACATATATGAAATTACCTGATCGCGAAAAGTATTTACCCTTTACAAATATGAACATTTCCACATATAAAATAAATAAAATATCCAAAAACTTTTACCTCTAAATCATCTATTACATTATACACGTCACCAACGAATTCATACATGAAGCATTACAAATATTTAGTATCAAATATTTAAATTATTTCCATGCACGTTTATTTCAACTTAAACGTAAACCAAATTCCTACAAGCATAAAATTCGCAAAATAACTATCATTTCATTAAAATATCACTGAACCATGTACACGTCGACTTATTTTTACTTAAAAAAAACATCCCAGAATTGCACAAAAATGGCATTGCGCACACTCTTCACTATATCCATGTACACTGCTTTTATCTCATAAATTAAAAAAATTTCACGAAAATACATGACAATTTTCTCAATCTTTAAACCCGGTGAAAAGAACATATATGAAATTACATGATCGCGAAAAAGTATTTACCCTTTACAAATATGAACATTTCCACATATAAAATAAATAAAATATCCAAAAACTTTTACCTCTAAATCATCTATTACATTATACACGTCACCAACGAATTCATACATGAAGCATTACAAATATTTATTATCAAATATTTAAATTATTTCCATGCACATTTATTTCAACTTAAACATACACCAAATTTCCTACAAGTATAAAATTCACAAAATAACTATCATTTCATTAAAATATAATTAAATTCAAAAACACCACTTAAAATATACATGAGCACATACATTCAATTAATAAAAATTACCTTACAATCCTAATTACTTTAAACTAAATCATTGCTAATAACAATTTTCCCAATAATACCAAATTCCTTTCCCCTTACATTTCCAACAATGCATAAAAATAATTAAAAATACTAACTTACCTAATCTCCTTCAGAATCTTCATGGCGGATACACTTTTCTTCTTCATTCTCTTTCAGAATCTTTAAAATCATACTTATCTTTCAAAGCAAGATACCAGGTAAAATAAATAACATAATAAAAACATGTTTATTTCTCTCTCACACAACCTTAAAAAACATTTCTTACTATCCTTTTCAATACCACTAAATACCCATTTCGAATTCACTTTACTTACGGCCATGGGATCCAAAATTCACAAACACTATTTCACACAACACAGAATAAAGCCAAATACAAAAATTTCCAGATTTTTTTTTTCCCGATTTCCCCCTTTTTCCCTTTTCCGATTAAAGAACCGTAATTCGTCCATTAATATCACATGACATATCCCATGATCTCTCATTTCCCCCACACAAAATAATGCGTAATCGGAACTCAGTACTGCTCACATTATTACCAAAGTCCCAGGTCCACCTTTATCGCCTCCAAAATGTCGCCAAACTACCAGTTACTGTAATGTAAAGATCAACCGCAGTTTACATGGATATAGTGAAGAGTGTGCGCAATGCCATTTTTGTGCAATTCTGGGATGTTTTTTTAAGTAAAAATAAGTCGACGTGTACATGGTTTATATATTTAATTAAATGATAGTTATTTTGTGAATTTTTGTTTGTAGGAATTAGGTATGCTTTTAAGTTGAAGTAAACGTGCATGGAAATAATTTAAATATTTGACACTAAGTATTTGTAATGCTTGCGGTATGAATTCGTTGGTGACGTGTATAATATAATAGATGATTTAGAGGTAAAAAGTTTTTGGATATTTATTTATTTTTATATGTGGAAATGTTCATATTTGGAAAGGGTAAATACTTTTTCGCGATCAGGTAATTTCATATATGTTCTTTTTACCGGGTTTAAAGATTCAGAAAATTGTCATGTATTTTCGTGAAATTTTTTTAATTTATGAGAAAAAAGCAGTGTACATGGATATAGTGAAGAGTGTGCGCAATGCCATTTTTGTGTAATTCTGGGATTTTTTTTTTAAGTAAAAATAAGTCGGCGCGTACATGGTTTATGTGTATGTGTTATTTTGAAAAACGCGTAAGGAGTATGGTATTGTGCAATTTTTCCCAATTTTGCAGTGAATATTTGTCACGATAAAGCAGTTTTGTTAGATAAAATTTCTAGCATAATGTAAATTCGGCTAGTAGATTGTTGGAAGAAGTGTTTCAGTAGATAAAAAGAAAAAGAAAACATGTCTTACTACTTACTTACTTTTTCGTGAAGACAAAATGGCGGCGGGGAAAAAAAAAATAGAGTGTTGCTGTAGGAGAGTTGGTCGGCAATTTTTTGCCAAAAAAACGTCAAGTTACCATAATGTAAAGATCAACCGAATCGTTTTCTTGTTGCGGCGAGTTCAAAACAGAACCAATAATTTCATCATTGGTCATCTGCTATGCCACTCACTGTTGGCTGATCTGGACACTTCATCAATTCAATGACATCTTCTTCTTCCAAAACCTCGTTTATTCTTTCTTTTGAATTCAAAGGCAATTCTCTTGCTTTAACCTTTGCTGCACCGACCCTAAAAACAGAAATTTCACTATCATCGCTGTCAGTTTCAATAAACAAAGCAGACCATACATTACGCCAGCCATTTACTAATGTTGTTTGGAAAACAAAATTTCATGATTCTGCCATGGTCATAAATGAATCACTGTTTCGTATTTTTAATTTTGTAATTTCTATATGACATCTTACTAGATTTAAACTGGTGATCTAATTATTATTATTATAGTTTAAATCTTACTAGATTTAAACTGGTGATTTAATTATATAAAATATCGAAAACAATTCCAAATCTAGATTTGACAAAGTACCAATGCATTCAGATCTCTGGACATCATATTGTAATTTTTAAATATGAAAGTTCAAAAATGTTATATAAATCAAGCACAGCATTTTTTAAAAATTTTACATGTGATAATTCTGTAATGTAGTACTGTACAAAATCTGAAGTCTGCACTTCGCCAATTCTGGATTGATCTTGACTTCAGCACTTCTGGATTTGGGATTTTTCTAGATATTAGATCATCAATTTAAATATAATGAGATGAAATGTAGAAATTATAAAATTAAAATATAAGTAGTATTTTATGAAATAATAAAGCATTTATGACTTTAAGAGAGTCAAAAAAAAAAAAAAAAAAAAAAAAAAAAGATCAACATTTATATGTTTGCTTTATTAAACATTTCTCTCAATGTGAAATGATTTTTGTGCTAATGTTTTCTTTTTAATTCTTTAGTTAGACATAATTTCTTGTATGCCAAGCAAAAAGGCAGTTATGGACTAAATTATCAATCATACAGATCTATGCTAAAAAATTATTGTTTCTTCAATCTTTCTTTTATTTTATGTAATGCTCAAGTGAAATTAAAGATCAGGACTCTCCACATATTGTTATGAAAAAATATGAAATGCGTATTTGTAAAGCACACCAAACAAAATTCTATTTAAAAAAAAAAAAAAAAAAAAAAAAAAAAAGGTTTCTGGAAGTCCTGAGGTCTGGATTTTAGATCATTCCAGATACTGGACATCCAGATTTCAGACTTTGTGCTGCAGTCATTAATGTGATTTCAACACATGAAGGATCTGCAATATCACTTCATGTTAAAAGTGATATTTTTTTAAACATCCTTAACAACTTAATCCCATGGTATTTTCCAAATAAATATATCATATACATCCCAAATTTAACCATATTAAATGTTAAAATGCACACATAGTTTATTGCTAACATCATGCTGAGCTGCGTAGAAATGCAAGAAAAGAATTACTTTTAATGTAAAATTTCATTTTAATGATTCTTGTCTTTATTTTTATTTGTCTGTGTGAGTTTAGCATGTAAAATTATCTTTTCAAATAATGCAGTTTATTAAAGTTTTTATTTTGATAATTGTTTCTTTATGAATTGTAGACTGAAACTGCAAATTTCTTTTATTTCAGAATGGGATTAAAAAATCATGGGATTTAATGCGTATTCATGATAGGTGAGTTATTGTCTTATATTGTTAGTAATGCCAATAAAGGTTTGTTTTTCGAATCCATTATATAAATGTAATGTAAAAATGTGATAATGTAAAAATATAATGTAAATATATATTACAATTCAAAATATATATAAATATGTATTATATTCTTAAGAAATTATAATTATGATGGCTCCACTGGAAAACTAAAATTCTCTAACAGTCCTCGAAGATCCAACCATTGCTGGGATTCATCTTGGAAGTACATAAGAAGATTACTCCTTGATTGAATGCATTTGGTCTTCTTTATGGCTAGCTATTGCCAAGTATTGTCAGCTCGGACCCGCCTTAATCCATATCTAAGAGTCTTAAGCACATCTCAGATCCACGTTTTCCACTCCTCTGTGCACTGCACTGGCAGCAGGTGACATGTTGGATGATTCCGTTGGTCATCGATGAGTATACTTCCCACAATAATATTAATATTATCTGTGAATTTCAGCATTCTGTTCAGAATAACAGCTTCGGCAATCTTGCCAAGATTTGGCAGAGGCACCGTTGTTTTCATTTAATGTGTAAACTCTTGTCCTGGCAAAATAACATCCACAGACATGATTATATCTTAGAAAGTGATGAAGGTAGAACAAGAATAACAAACCTATCAGCAGCATTTATTATTGGTGTTTCTTAAATAAAAGTGCTGCTACTGGGAAAAAACATAAGGTATTTAATTTATCTTCCTGTTAGTTTTTAGAACAGCCCGGTCTTAAAATGATACCATTTGACAAAATGTAAGAACTCTAATTTATTTTGAAATTTAGTTATTCATCAGCAGACAGAATGATTTAAAAATAATAAATGCATTTCTTAATAATTTAAATCTATTTTCTTTAATAAAGTAGTTATTTGATATAACTTGGAAGATTTTTTTTAAAATCAGGAAATATCACATTATCATAAATATTTTTTTATATTTATTTAAAAGATTTTTGAATGATTATATGTAAAGCTTTTCATAGTTGAACATTTATATATAAACCAATGAAATATTTATTAGGTTAATGTTTATGCATTTAATTATTAATATTTATACATATTATATTACATTGAATCTTAATTTTGGCCTAATTTAGTTCAGCCAGAAAGTAAGATGTATATTCAGATGTCTTTTGACTTGATATTTTTAGTGAAGATGTATAGAGGCATTTTATTGTTTAATTTTGATTAGTTGCATTTCATTTCTATATATGTTTTATTTTCTTGCTGTGAAATCATTTGTATTACCAGGGGTTGGTTCTCAAGCAGGAGGGGAATTTTATAGTTTCAGAGAATTTCAGATGAGGTCAGCCCCCCTTAATATTATTTTTTATTATTAATCTTAATATTTATTATATTTATTAATATTATTTATTTGTTTACTTTATTAATATTATTTATTTGTTTACTTTATTAAAGTATTTGTTTACTTTATTAAACACTTCTTTCAATGTAAGTTGTTTAAGTTGCTTTGTTTTATGTGCTAATACTTTCTGTTTAATTCCTTAAACAGACATAATTTCTTGTTCAGTTACAAAGTTCCACTGTTCAAGTCTTGTAATTACTGTGCTGAGAATACCGACTAACTTGTCAATCGAAATTTTTCTTTTTCACTAACCTGTCACTTTCTTCATGCCTTTACCCATTTTTTGCAGCATTTCCACTTTTTGTTTGATGGACATTGAAATATGCTTTCACTTTGTAGGTCCTTTGGCAGCTCCAGAATTGGAAACTCTTTTTGATATAATCGAAAGTTCAAGTTTACTTTTTATAAAATTGTTCTACCAGTCTGCAAAAAATAACAAGCCGGATCCAATTAGAAGATTAAGGAACAACACAATCTGCAACATTAACTGAAGTAGATAATTAGATAATTTTAGCCTATCTTATACCATCTGTTATACATTAAATGCTCATGCGTAAACATATTATGTGCATGCGTAAACGCATATGCGCATGCATAAACGCTACGCATGCATAAACGCTACGCATGCACAGAAAGTTTGTAGCTTTGAGGTTCAGATTATAGATCATTCCAGATTATGGACGTCCGGATTAAAGACTTTGTACTGTACTCTAAAATAACTACTTTAACAGCAATATATGCTTTTATTTTTCGCTATTTAAAAACAAGTTCTTGAAAATTTGTATGAACTGCAGTGGTTTGGTATAATTCTTTCTGTTGTATTAGTTTATGCCAATTTTTTTAGTCATCATTTTGGTGTTCTATTCCCTATTTCCACTCTAAATTATCAAAACTAATTATTTTATACAATTCCATGTTATTTATCATTAAATTTTTTGTATAGTTTGTGACATTTTGTTATCCTGATTAAGCCAGATTTCTGCCTAGGTTCATTAATCTGTTTAGGTAGCTCCAAAATCATCCTGTGGTTTCTCTTAACCCAGTTTTCAATTCATGAAAGCATTGAACCTCAGAAAGTTTTAACTGTGAGCTGGTCTTGAGAGTATTGGGCATGGGTTGGCAAAAGGCCTGGGTTGACCTGTGATCAGCACTTTCAAATGCTGTAGTATGATATCAATATTTTAAAAGGCTGTAGAATGTTGTTTCACTCTTGAAAGGGAAATAACTTCTAATAAAATAGTTTTGGCATTACCAATATAAAATAACTATTTAAATTCTGTTATTATTCATTGTATTAATTTAATTGAGCTACTTAAAAAAAATATTGTTTTGTATGCATAATTTATTTATTTATTAAAATTTTTTTTTCTTTGTAGTGTGGGTATCATAATCTTTAATGTAACTCGGGAAGTTTTACTTTTTGTGAAGCAGTTCAGACCTGGTAAGCTTTGTACTTTCATTGTAAGTCTTATTTTTTATGAATATCTATTATGATTTTAATTATATTGGAAAATTTCAAATAAAATGGTTACTTAAATGAGCTCTAAATTTTGAAGCATTGATATAACATATATTAATTAATTTATTTCTATTGTGTAACATGCAGGATTATTACAGATGATTCACTGGATTTGAAAGCGCTGTATTTTGTAAAGTACTGCAAAGAAAAACATTCAGCTCCCTCTGCAGTGATTGGATACTTGTTTAGTTAAGGACTCATTAAAAGCATTGGTTGGGAATAGCTAAACCCTTAGGTTATTTAGTCATCTTATAACCAAGTACGCTGCCCAGGAGGTTGCTCACTATTACATCTCTGAACTTGTTGGGGGGGGGAGGGTTTAGACAATAACAAACGTGCATGAATTCTGTGAGATTCCCTAGTGATATGGCAGCTGGTATTGCTAACTTGAGCGGCCCGAGCAGATTTGCTGCAAATAAATTTGAGTAACATTGGTGCAAATAAAAAAGCAAGTACTACATGAAATGAAGTAAAAAATCTTTCAAATTTTAGTCATTATGTTATAAATGTTTGATGTTTGCTTTCTTTGCTTATGCATAAATGTTTGATGTTTGCTTTGTTTTTTTTTTCATAGCCCATGTCCATGTTCATACTCTACTTCTCACATGCATTAAAATATTTCCTTGCTGATGGTTGCAAAAGTAGGTGTAATTTATTCTTGGTTCACATGAACGTCACCTTTTAACATACCACCAAAGTAAAATATTACTGGGTATAATTTTGGAGAAGAATGTTATCTTTCCCATGTTGAGCTTCATGTCCAATAGCAGGGGAGCTCATCATTTAAGCAGTAATATACATTCGTGGGCAAAATTTAAGAAGGAGAAAGTTTTTCAAATTTAATATTATGCAGAAGTGTTCTACATCGACCCAGTCATACCATAAGACCCGCAAGTTGTGAAATACGGGACTAGTGAGCAAAATGATTCAAAAAAGGAATTGAAAGGATAAATAGGATTTCATTGAAAAGTAGCTCTTAGTACAATTGATGAGGAGACAGAAATTACCACATGACTGGCACTTTGCAAGAAAAATTTAGTCTTTGGAAGGGCATATAATAACCTCTGACTGCAATATAGGAATTACAGTATCTGCCAATGCTGAGGACAAGGTCGTTAATGAGCTGTTGATGCACCATTCCCATTCCTGTTGCAGAGTCAATTTCTGGAAGAAAATCTTCTTGAAGAGCAAATTTCAGCTGCAGAAGTGTTGCTGGCAGCTAGTCATGTGGTATGCTGCCAAGCATCTCCTGAGAAGATCTGCCATGTCCCGCATGGGATTTAGGTGTTTGTAATCACTAATCAGACTGAGCTGGTTCTCATTTGTAAATAGCACTTAGTCATTCCTGTTGTATAGAATTCTTGTGTTTCCACCACCACAGAAAACAGTCTCTGATGAGCAGGTGTTAACCAGTATGTACCATACTGGCCGTTGTGCACATAATATGCAGCCTCCTAACCATGATAAAATTAATATCAGATATTCAGTAATCTGTTGCATGATGTACCTTGCGATATCTCCTTCTGTCAGTGGCCGTCAGAAGGAGAATGTAGCTATTGTTCACTGCCATTGTTGCTTCTGGCAACCACTGTTGAATGCTTGAACAGCTGTTCTTGCTGTTTGAAATGCTCTGAGGGCTTGTGACACTATGCTGGCAGTGATCCCGTACTTATCTGCCACTTTTCACTCTTTGATCATCCAATTCCCTAATGATGCGATCTGTGGTAAAGTCACCCATATAATGTCTTCTAGATTTCCTGTTGGCCATATAATATGTTAGTAGCGATTCAACACACTGTACACCATTCAACAGCTTTCACCAAACTGATGAGTTTACACTGCCTGTGTGCTTTATACCCTTTTGACATTCCTTCTTCTAAATCATGTGTTATATTTGCGCATGTCCTACTGTATTGGTCCCAAGGCTATCATTTGATGATCTTTCGATCAATTCTGTTGCGTTGTTTTGCTTTTATGTTAATTTCTCTGCTTCATCCTTAATTTTTGCATATTAGTGTAGCTCACTGTGCCAATAACATAGAGCCTTACCTTACTGGAATATCAAATATTCCGAACTATATTTCTGCTAACATTCTGAGTGCCATGGCCGTCTTTATCCGGTCATGAGATATTTTGTCACTCTTGTCATGAGATATTAACTCTTCTCCACATTTCTTTACAAAATTTGTTAAATGGAAAATTTCACCTTTGGTTTGCGATATCAAAAAACCTTTAAAATTCGTTGCCACCATCATAAAATTCAGCTGTCATTCACTATACATATTTGGCTATGCATCATGAGATTGGCAACTAAAGACAAGTTGTTCCCCTAAATTCTTGCTTCTATTGCACACTGAGACAGTTACGCCTGAATTGTGTTAGTTATGGAGGTCAGGCGGTAGATATCTTATTGCCTGATGCAGTCTCTTTGGGTCTTAAATTCTGCTACCAAGCATCTTGCTTTGGTTTTCACTAAATTCTGCCGCCTGTTGCGGCCATAGGAGCCATGGCGCTGGTTCTGGGTTTATGTGAATAAGAAATCAGTTATTCATAATTTAAAGAGAACTAAATGTAATCTTTTCGCCAAACAAACACAAACAAAATCCATTTTTAGCATATGGAAAGAAATTTTTCCTTGTCACCATTTCTTAGCACATTCAACTTAAATCTATAATCATCGTCAAGCATATTGTCAACATAAAAGGTTACCATACTCTTCGTTATTCAATTACTAATATAAAAAAATTGTTATGGGTTGATAAGCATTCGGTGATGAAAGCAAAATATAATAAATAATGATTTCTCAGGTTGGCATCAGGGAAGTAAAATATTAAGTGTAAATTCAATGATGTATCTATGTAGAATATTTCGGTTTTATATGCGAGCCAAGCAGGCAATTTGGCAGCTACAGAGCCAAATTATTGACGATACAAATTTATGCTAAAATAATTGTTTCTTCAATAACGAGGTATTTTATTTAATGCCAAAGTGAAATTAAGAATCGGGACTACACATGCTTTATTGTGCGAGGGGGGGGGAGAAAATGCGCATGTGTAGAGCATTAAATAAAATGTTCTTCATGGCTTGTGGTCCATATTTTAGATCATTCTGAATATTGGATGTCTGAATCTCTGACTTTGTACTGTATTTATAATAACGCTCTTTAGACTAGGTTACTTCTCAATTAATCCATATCATATGATTCTTATTTAAAAAAATAATGCAGGCAGTTACATAATGCTTCAGCCAATCATAATATTCAGATTTCTATGCTGAAACTTAAATTAACAAATCGAAAGGAAGTTAAACCTATGGTGAATCAGTGTTATCCAGACATTTGAGACCATTCTTTTCCACTTCTACTTGCTGACTTGTTAGCTGCTGCTCTGTCACTCCATCAGTTGAAATAGGAAAAATATGAAATATATCCTTGAAATTATTGAAGTGGATGTATTTTCTCTATGTTACTTTAATATGTGAATTATGTTTGCATGCAACTGCAAATGCATGGATATAATAATCTATTTTTAAATGCTACAATATCTGTAAATGGTACTACAAAATCTTCCAAATTGTTGGCTGTAGAATATTAAGTCCATGTTAGCAGGATTTGGTGATTTTTGTGAGATAAGTATGAAATTCTGTTTAACTTTCTCCCACTGTTGCCAAATCCTGTGATTTTTCACAAATTTTGACAAACCTTTGCCACGAAAATTTATGTGTGCGTGATTTTGCAAAATTTTTGCTACTCTGTCATTCTTTTGTGCTACTTTTTACGAGTTTAAAAATTTTTAATGCATCATGAAACTCTTATATGTTTAAATAATGTATCTAATAAAATGAGTTTTTAGTAAATAAAGAAAGAAAGATATTTAGGCTTAAATAAAAGTGAGTATCTGTCAATCCCGAGACCATAGAGCTGGTACATATAGTTTTTAGTGTCAGTGGTTAGTGTTTTCACGTGCTTAATTGATTAATTTTTTAAATCCTTAAAGTTTTCCAATAAACAATGCAGCTGTAGGAAGGGTAATTCCAACCAAAACAAAACATCGAAACAGATTGTGTTTGGAACTCCATAATGAAACTTCAAATGAAGAATATGTAATATATGAAGAATATGAAGTAATATTTTTCTTTGAATTCGAACTTCAAATGAAGAATATGTAATATATGAAGAATATGAAGTAATATTTTTCTTTGCCCATTCCAAAATAGTCTGCTTGGGAAGGGGAGATTTTATATATGGATTGCACTCTGGGATACTTTGCCCTAGCCCCATATGCTATTCTTTACATCAAAATATTTAAAAATAAGACACTTATGCACCATTTTTCCTCCAATCAGATTTTTAAAAACTTGAAACAAAAAACGTACAATAAAACTTCATTCATTTCATAATTATGTTCGTTCATTATACAAGGAGTTTGCATGTGTAAATTTTAAAAATTTGAAATATTTTCGTTCATTGCATGAATATCAAGAACACACATGTAGTTTGGAAATTAATGGGTTTCAAAACTCTGCATCATGCGTAATAATCCTATATATTCATATAAAAAGTATTTTTCTGTAAAAGCATTTTCATTTTTAGATATGAAAGATGACTAAAAAGATGTTTTTCAGATCCTGATTCTTCATGCAGCAACGTTTGTTACATGAATATCTCACAAATGTTATTAAATTGATTATGTTTTGTGATACTGCTGTTGAATTGAATTCAAGTTTAAATGCAAAGAACATGATATTTAATAAATAAAGGTAACGCATAAAATGTTGGGGGAGGGGAACTTTATTTTGAGTGTAATATAAAATCTGAAAGTGTTGAGATTTTCTTTTCTTTTTTTTTTTTTAAATTTAGTTTCTTTAAATATAATACATGGCGATAATATTTGGAGGCAACAGTTTGGGTAAAATGCCATTTTGAGATGCTTAGCCCTTTGGTTCTAATGCTTTTTTAAGCTAAAAACTAGTATTATTTTTTTTATGTAATTTGTAAAAACCTCTGTTAAAGGATTTTAATATTCTGAAATCTGTTATTCAACAAGAAATATGTATATAATATTATATAAATGTTTTAATAGATTATTTCTTTTTGATATTTTTGTTATATTTAGTGTCATTAATAAATTAAAATTTCCATACTACTGCTTTATTGATTACTTTTATAGCTGTTTATTATGCTGAAGTAAAAGATGAAAACTGTGAAGAAGAAATTGATACTAAGAAATATCCACCAAATCTAGGAATGACTATTGAGCTTTGTGCAGGGATTGTAGATAAGGTCCAGAGCCTAGCTGAGACAGCCAGAGATGAAATATTAGAAGAATGTGGATATTCAGTTCCACTGACATCATTACAGAGAGTTACTTCATATAGGTAAAATTAAAATTAATTTGATAGATGATATGAAGTTATAGAAAATAGTGATTTTTGTATTCATGAAGCATATATCAGTATTGTTTTGTTTTTTCATTACTTTATTGGAATTTAAAATAGAAAACTCCATTAAGTCGAAGCTTCTTTTTTGGATAATACTAAATTAATTAAATTTTTCATATTATGTGTGATGTAAATCAATTACAATCAAAAGTCGTTAATTCGGACACCCATAATCCGGAATGATCTATAATCCGGACCTCAAAGCTAAAAACTTTCTGCACATGCGCCGCTTTGACACATGCACATAGGTGTTTACACGTGTGCGTAAGACCTTTATGACTGCGCATATGCGTGTGCACAAACGCAGAATGCGTTTTCGCGTGCGCATTTAATGTATAACGGACGGTATAAGCTAAAATTATCTATTTCAGTTAATGTTGATGATTGCATTGTTCCTTAATCTTCGAATTGGATGCGGCTTATTATTTTTTGCAGACTGTAAGAGCAATTTTATAAAAGTAAACTTGAACTTTCGATTATGTCAAATAGAATTTCCGATGCTGGAGCTCTCAAAAGATCTACAAAAAACGAAGTGCTTTCGATGTCCATCAAACAAAAAGTGGAATTGCTGCAAAAATGGATAAAGGGATGAAGAAGGTGACCGAGAGGTTAGTGAAAACAAAAAATTTCGATTGCGTTAGTCGGTATTCGGCCTAGTAAGCGGAACTTGGAACAAGAATTTGTCTGATAGAATTAAAGAGAAAGTATTATCATCAAAGCAAGCAACTTAAAACAGCTTACATTGAAGAAATGTTTAATAAGTAAACAATAAATATTAAGCTTTTTTTTTTTTTTTTTTTTTTTTTGTAAATTTTGATACCCTTTAGATCATAATTGTTCATTTCATAAATTACGGTTTCATATTTTTATTTTTAGAATTTCTACATGTCATCTTACGAGATTTAAACTGATGATCTATAATCCGGAAAAATCGATAATCCAGAATTGCCGAAGTCCCGACGAGTCCGGATTAACGACTTTTGACTGTATTTGTTGAATAATAATATTAATTGCATTGGAATGATAACTTTTTATGAAAGATTATTTTACATTTATACATTTAATACATTTATATGTAGTTTTTTTAAATGTTTAATGAATGTATCATATATGTTTGTTGGGAGTGTTGAGAGTGGTTATGTAGTAGGATACTTGGTTGCCTACCAAAGGAGCATATTTAATGCAAGTAAAAGAAAAAAAAAATATGGTATGTTCCTTAAATATATGACATATAAAAAAAGCATGAAATGGGTAACAGGGATAACTTTACAATGATAACTGCTGTAACATATCTATCAGGTGTGTTTAGCCATTATGTCTGTCGGTCAGGTATTTGTATGTCAGTAGTTAGGTATTTGTATGTCAGTAGTCAGGTATTTGTATGTCAGTTGTATGTCATTTGTATGTAGTTTTAAATTTACTTATGATGTATTTCTTCTTCATTTAACACTATACTTTTCTATGAGCTGTTTGATATAGTATGTATAATTATAAATAATTAGAATTCAACTGGAGAACAGAATTACAATGCCTAGAAATTGAAGTTGATTAATTTTGAGGTTTAAGTACTGTCATTTTTCTTGATCTTCTTTGAATATTTATTAATTGCATCACATCATGTATATGGAGATTATTACTATTGAGTTGTAATGAAAGTTTCCCACCATCACAAATCTTCATTGCAAACAGTTTGCATTGGCATGTTTAATCTTATTTTGGCAAACTATTTTTGGAATTTAAAAGAAAGAGACTTGCTTTAGAACACACTGTGCTGTGAAATTTGTAAAAACATATCGTTCTCATTAAGTACAAGGTGTCTGAAATGGAACTATCATGGTTTCATATTAGAGTCATCATTTACTTCCAGTTCTGGTGCAAAAAGTCAGTTACAGAATGTCACCAAATCATTTATACAGCTTTAGGTACTAATGTTGTGTCATATGACACTGTGAAGGTTTGGTACTGAAAGTTCTAAAACAAGGTTTATGACATTCAAGAAGCAGAGCATTCTGGCCGGCTTACTGCTGTTGATGAGGCTCACCTGCTAGAAGTTGTGGATGAAGATCAGTATGTATCCACTTGCGAGCTTGCTAAGGAGTTAGACATTAGTACTATGTCCATTGGTTGTGCTATGCATCTCATAAACTTGACGTACAAGATCAATCACTGGATGTGGCATGACCTGACTCAAGCAAATAAGGATAGACATGTTCGGGCCTGCACTAATCTGTTTGAATATCAATGCAAAGGCAAAATTCTGGACCAGATCGTCACTTGTGATGAAAAGTGGATTTACTTCAACAATGCAGGCTGCAAAGGGGGTTGGTCGGTGCTTACTGAGCGCATCAGCAGGTCGAAAGTCCAATTTGACTAACAAAAAGATCATGCTTCGTATCTGGTGGGATTGCCATGGTATTATCTACAAAGACTATCTGTAAAACAGTGAATCATCCACAGTAAGGTTTACAGCAAGATGCTGGTTTGTATTGATGCTGCTATCAAGGAAAAATGTTGAACTGGTTTCCGGTGCAAAAAGGAAATGTTCCATCAAGATAATGTAAGACCATATGTGTCTGCATCCACTAACTGGACTATGTACGGACTCAAATGGGATCTTTTGGTGCACCCACACTATAGCCCCAACATCACTCCTTTGGACTTCTTTTTTCACACCTGCAGCTACATCTTTCTGTTGGTATCTTCCATTCTGCACAGGACATCTGAAGTGAGGTTTATCTGTTTTTGGACTGGCAACCACCAAGTTTTTGGATTAAAGGCTTTGAAAAACTACCAAAACGTCGACAGAAAATGATAGATTTTGACGGTGATTTCTACCCATACTAAGCTTTCATATTTTTTTCCCTAACTTTATTAAGAATGATGTTTTTGCGGAAAACTTTCATTGTTTCAGGAATACAAGCAGTAGGTTGACAGTATTATATGTAAATGAATGGGATGATGATAGTGTTAATGATGCGAAAAAGGAACTTGTTTTCTGAATCACTTTTGAATTTATCTAAGTAAAATATTAATTACAACAAGCATGAACACTGTAATTGTGATCAAATCCAATAATATTCCTCCCCCCCCCAATATTAGAGTTTCGGAATTTTTGCAAGCAGTCATATGAGAGGGTTGGTAAGGTAAGTAAAGTTTAAAGCTTGTGGTAATTATGAAAATTAACATAAAACTGCATTAGCTGTGGAATGGCTCTGGCTCCATGATATTGGTTTATGATATTAGCTCCTTGATAGTGACTCTGGCTACAAAATCTCTGACCATGAACTCTTTTAAGAGCAGTGTATAAAATCCTGGTGGTGAAGAAACATCATCTACCACCTTTTTTAGTTCGGGCGGCACTGTAAACACATTAGGTATTTTATTTTTTTAAAGCAGGAATTGTGAAAAATGAGCAATGCCCTCATTGGGACTCGAACCACAGACCTCTCAAACACGTGCCGAGTGTTCTAACCACAACACTACGAGGGCAGGATTTATACCTTATAATATCACTAATATGTGTACAGTATCTTTGATATAAATTGCCTTGTGATCATTTTAATTGGTCATAGTTTTTTCGACATTCCTTATATTTAAATTGTGCATAATAAAATTCTGTTACCTTATAGTGTCACTAACATGTGTACAATATCTTTGATATAAATTGGCTTATGATCATTTTAACTGGTCATAGTCTTTTCGACATTCCTTATATTTAAATTGTACGTAATAAAATTGTGTTGTAAATGTGAAAATTGAATATTTGCTTAAATAGATAAATCCAAACTAAATCACCCATTTTTAACTGATGAGCAATGCCCTCATTGGGGTAATTATATGCTATTTTTTTCAGTATGAACCAACCTGTAAAGCAAGGTGTTATATTGTTGGGCCTGGGCTCAGTAAAGTCGCTGAACACTATTAGTTCTGTCTGAAGTTTGAATCCTGTGAGCGGGCTGGCCACATGGGTGTTTCCATGTTTTAACCCATATGTAACATGTATACGAGCCAGTTTTCCTTAGAAAGTCCTCCACGAAAGCATCCCTTCTCTCAGTCAAATAGCCATCGTGGCTTTGCCATAATCACATAAACCAATCATATCTCGGAGAAAGTATGCACATGTAGTTGGCAGTCTCCCTCCCTCTTGTGGGTAATATGAGTCATCTTCTATGGTGCATTCTTAATGGTGTTTTTGGGATGAGACAGCAGAATGATTGACAGTTCAGTCATCCCTGATGAATGTGTATCTTGTTTGCCATTAGAGAAAAAAATGAACACTGATGACTGATTCATATATCTTTAAACACTTTCATTTTATTCAATGTGATTGGGCAAATATTTCAGTAATATTTTAAATATGATTACTTATGTGTTAAATAAAAATTTGTATCAATTAAAGTTTAATGAAGTTAAGAAATAGATTTTATTATATGTAAATAAGTTTTATTATTATAATCCTTTTCGATTTAGGTCAGGAGTTGGTGTAACTGGCTCCAATCAAACTTTGTTTTATGTGGAAGTAACTGATTCAATGAAAGTGTCTCAAGGCGGGGGCAACAATTATGAAGGAGAATATATAGAAGTTATAGAGATGGATCTCGAGCAAGCTTATTCATTAATATATGATGAAAAAGTACCTAGACCTGCATCTCTTATGTTAGCTTTAATGTGGTTCTTTAGAAACAAAACTTCTAGAATTGTTCAAAAATTATAGAAAATGTAATTATGATAAAAAATTTATGCAACATTTCGGAGATTATCAATTTATAATATTTATTTAAAATCATATATGTATATTTATATTAGTTGTGGGGAATATATTGTTTTTGCATATGTTTATATTTGTTTAAATTTAGTACTTGTAAAATGTATACACTGTTTGCCATGTTTAATAACTTTATTTAGTTTAAGGTAAAATTATATGTAAAAATGCTGCTAAAATACATATTATAATGTTTTTAATTTGCATCTTATTGCAATTTAAAGTGATAAATGTTCATGCAAAATTGTAAGATTTCCAAGTTGTAATAATTATGTATCATATTTAATAATTGGTAAAATTCAGCCTTGTTTTTAGCAAACAAAAAGTTCTTCTTGAAACAAAAAGTGTATGCATTTCAAGAGACAAACAGCATAGTCTTCCATATTGAATGGATGTAACACATTATTCAGAATTTTTCATTTGAAATCAAACACCAAGCAAAAGCTGACTTTCAGTTATTAAATTTTCAAGTTGTTTGCAATATTTAACATTCCTTAAAAATCACTTTATTTTTATCATTAATAATAATGTGAAAATCCTAAAATTTTCCTGAATTTTGTTCTAATAAATAAGAATAAAAAAGCAAAGCTCTTTTCCCTACTAAGTTCTTAATATGAAGTAATTCTTCATGCTGCTAATACTTAAAATAAGTGATATTACATTGGCTATTTGTGTATGTATACCGGTAATTATTTGAGCAACTGTTTTGATTGTGATATGGTACTGTTTAATGATGTATATAATGTTAAAGAATTATCAAGAATAAATATCATTCATTTTTAGGATGAGCTTCTCTTTTTTATTGTATGTAATCAACGAAACCTAGTGTTTATTTAACATTTGTTTAACCTCTTGCCTTACCATTGGAGTTGCAAGAGCACATGACATAAATATCAACAAGGTCATCACATGTCGAGACGTTTTATGGTTTGGCCGAAACATTCGACATGGAAACAACTCCAGCCTCAGTTATGTCCAAATATTGCACATTTTTCTAAAAGATTTATGGTAACTGGCTTTATTACAAAACTGTCAAACATTAAAGCTATGTTACTGAATTGCCAGTTATATACTGAATTATTAAACTGAAACAACTGACTGCAGATTACCAAAGTAATCAAATAGACAGTTCTATTGTTAATACTTCACTTTTCTGTTCATTTTTCAGATACAGCATATGAGGAAGTTTCTTTGATCAAGTAAGGGTAATTTTTAAATGTACTTTGACCATTTGAAAACTGGCCCACCAGTGGCCTAGCAGTAAAATCGCTGAACACTGGTAGTTTGGTCCAAGGTTCAAATCCCACGAATGGGATGGCTACATGTGCGTTTTCATGGTTTTCCCCATGTATATGAGCCAGTTTCCCTTAGAAGGATGAAGGCATTCCTCCTCTTAGGCAGATAACCCTCAAGGCTTTGCCATAGTCATATAAACAAAAAACCATTTGAAAACTAACTGTGAAAGACCAAACAAATCACACTTTTGTCTATTGTGATATGTAAGTGCTGTGTAAGGTTAAAACTAATTTTATTTTGCAAGATGTTCGATAAATACCTGTCAATTTATGTCAAACAATAAATGTTTATTATCCTGAATTGAAATTTATCACAGGTTTTATTTTGCATAATTTATCGTGTCATTCACGAAATTGTTATTGCAAAATGCAGACATATAGTTATTTGAAAAAATCTGTTGAATGGTGTCATTTTTCTGGATATTGAAGTTTCTATAACTGCTGTTGTAGACCAGCGAATTTTAATTTTATGTTTTTTAACTTCAGCCATTATTATGTGTAGTGTAAAATATATTTTCATTTCATCACAGTTTACAGGAAACCAAGTCTTATCTATTTTATACCTTTTATTTGAATTCTTTGCTATGTGGTTTGCGTATCAATTCGTCTCAGGGACAATATTTTCCTGAAGTATATGATCAATGCCTAATTCTTTTTTGTTTTCACCTAACAGACTTAAAGTTACCCTTTTATTCCAGATATCTCTGTGTAGTTACAAATTTTTGGTTCATTAATTTTACATTCCAAATCCATAGCGGGCCCACCAGCAGCTGAACGGTAAAGTCGCTGAACACTGGTAGTTCAGTTCAAGGTTCAAATCCCATGAACGGGCTGGCTGCATGGGCGTTTTTGTGGTTTTTCCCATGTTTAATGTGTATACGAGCAAGTTTCCCTTAGAAAGTCCTCCACGATAGCATCCCTTCTCTTAGGCAGATAGCCCTTGAGGCTTTACATAATCACATAAAAACAAACAAAACCAAACCAAATCCATAGCTCTGATTGTTGATGATTACTGTGGTCTTTTTTGTCTGTGTCATCTTCATTAACTAGTATTGCCAGTAGTCGCTTACAATATTTTCATGTAGGAAGTAAAATGTCAGTACTGTCACTTTAAAATATCTATCAAATCATTGTTTATGTTGATAGTAGAACTTTCACTGCTCTTATGAAAGCTTAATATTTTTTCGAAAACATTTTAAAGCGTATGAAGTATTTAAGAAAATATATCTGCCCATCCAAACATGGCCAGAAAATCAGTAAGTGTGTAGCCCAAACATTGTACCATTTCTCTCACATGTTGTGTTTATTTTTGGCCGGATCAACTTAACACGTTTCTCACTCGACATCATAAGGGGGCAAAATAAAAAGGCTTCAGCATTTCACAAGACAAAATTGAAGTTATGCACCTTGAATTCCACTTGAAGATGTAATTTATGATAAAGGATTAACAGCTGTTGATTTTGATGATTTGAACCTCAAAAGTATAAAAATTTTTACTATCAAGATCTGAGTATATATAATAGCTGCATGGATTAGTTGAAAGCAATGCAATATACTTACAATATCAATATTTGAATAATTCTAATTGTATACAAAAATGATCATATCAGAACACCAACTGATATTTGTATCTCTAAATGATGGCCATATAATGAATTAGGGTGAAGTACTTTTTAGGAAATGAAACCTTCCATAGTTAGCAAATGATATAAATTTAGTTAATCGCATATTATTTTTGTATATTATTATATTAACTATTTGATTGCTGAGAAATCTGCTTGCTTTTATTTATTTATCAGCTTACCTTACCTTTAAATGAACTAAATTTTACTTTAATTTTTTAATTGAAAATTATTTTGATTGAAATATAGACAAGATATTAAGCATTTCAAACATTTATCTTCTTTCAAGAGTCATGGTAAGTTTCATGCAGCATTTATTTTTTATTTTTATTACTCTTGAAATGTGTAAAATATGAGTTTATTTATACCTTTGTTTACCGATAATCTTATACTGAGGAATCATTGGGTAATTCATATATATTTATGATTACTTTCCTTGGAAGCTGCGGATATTTTACTTTAAATTTATTATAGAGTTAATGTACACTCTTTATATAAGTAGCATTATCACCAAATAGTCTTATAAGAATATTTGTAGTGTGGAGTGAATTTTGATTTTGCTAAGATCATGTGAATTAAGGAAATTTATTTAATGGCATTTATTAAACTAATTTAGCATTAGATTCAAATAGAAAGAGAAATACATAAATGTTAAACTTAAAATTTATCAAAACAGAAATCTTGTTTTGGCATAGAATTTAAATAAAACTCTGATAATTTAGAGAGCGATCAGACACAAGTCCCTTTTTTGAAGAGCTTGGGCTTATGTATGATCTTCCTCAAATGTATTATTAATTTCACTACTTGGATGAATACTTTTCAATAATATGATTTTAAATATCGGTCCAATACTTTAAATTATTCTAATGTAATTTTTAAATATATCATAAATTAAAATATGGTTGCTGTTAAACTGTTAACGTTAGAGTGAAGCAGAGGATGATATATAATAGATAAATTATGGGGAAAACTCAATGATTGTCTACTGATAAACATAAATAGATTTTGTTATGATTTTTAATGGCTTTCTTTTAAATAACTTGATCATGTATTGCAGGAATTCTTCATATCGGTTGTTATGTGTTTTGTACAAAGAATATTTTTGTACAGAGTTGCAACATAATGTACAATTCTCATCTTTAAATGAATAAGCAATTCAATACTTGATTCATTATTGCCATTTTTAAGAAAAAATATCTACCCAGAGTGTTTTCATAAAGTACATCTGGGTTTCCACTGCATAGAAAATCCAAAAAAGTCAAGAAAATGAAAAATGATCTATGAAAATATAAACTTTTTTCAAACAATGAGAAAAGCTTAAATAAATAAAACAATCTTATTATATAATAAAAAAGTTCATGATGTGAATAAAAAATATGCCTTTCTTAAAATGACAGCAAATAAAGAGTTATTGTAATCTTTGTTTTTCTTATAGAAGCTATTTTAACCACCTCATATTTTTCTGCTAAAATTTTATCAACATACAGCTCTTCTCTCCATGTGCTAGTTAGCTGTTACTCATTTCTTTAGAAATGTAGCTCCTATTTCACCTTTCTAGCTTTAGAATTTTTTTCCATTTGCTTCATAATAATGTGTAAGATAAATTAAGGTTTTAATTATTTCACTGTATTTTGTAATAAATGCATAAAAGTTATTCAAGTATTCACAAATTAAAAATTAGTTAGTCTTGATCACGAAAATTGCTCATTTTGTTTACAGAAAATCAGAGGAGGTCAGGGAAGTTAAAAGTTGATTTGCATAGAAACTGTTTAATTACATAGAAAATATAATGTTTCATGATTTATGCCATATGGTTGGTTGTATTATCAAGAGAAATTCAGAACGATTGCTGCATTACCTTTTGGTTCACAATGTCTGCTGATGATTTAAATATAATTTGACATTTTTATTTATATATTTCTAAACCGATGTTGTCATTAAGTTTTTTAATTTTTCATTTTCATAGTATTACGTTCACTAGATTTTTATCATACCATTTTGAATAATATGAGTTTAGACATAACCATCTTACGATTTAAATTGATTTGGAATAAGGTAAAATAGTTTTGCAATTGTTTCAGAAGTCTTTTCATTTAGCCCAGCATAAATCAATCTGTTAGTGTCTTTTATGTTAAATATTTTAATGCATCATTTATTTTAAATAGACATCTTACATCTTATTTCTATATTTTTTAATTAGGTAGTTGTTTTATACAAATTTGCTGCTGTGTCTTTAGCTGTGGTAAATTCTCAACAAAGGTGTTGAGTTTGATAAAGTACTTTAAAAACTTTTAAAATTATTATTATATTATTGAAAATAAATAAAACATTAGGTATTTTTGAATAAAAAATTATAATTTTTATATTTTGGTTTAAAAAAATTAAAAATTGTTTGAATACAGAACCTCATGTATGTGTTTATTCATTTGTATTTTTCTTCTCAGTATTCACCTTTGAATATTAAAAAATGAAATTTTTAAGTGTGTTTTTGAGTTACTTATCAAAGCCAATATTTATGGTAAGGGTCTTCAAATATTGACTCCAGGAATCCCTAAGATTATGAAATCTTCTTTTGCAACCCTTAAAACTGTATTTTTTTTCTTTTTGAAATTCTCTAAAATTATAATTTTTTTAGGGAAACCCCTGTCATCATGGAAAAAAAAAAACATGTTGAAAAAAACATTTAAAATGTATATGTTACATGCACTTTCTGTGGACAATTTTTTTTTCTCCTTCCATGATTGTGTTCGGAAATGAAAATCACTATTTCTTAATAGTTATGAAAACATATTTACTTTGCATAATTGTAAGTAACAACTATCGAAATAAAAAATATTATTTAATTAATTTAGATTGTTAGTTTTGAAATCCACCTAGCATTAATAAATTCTGTGGAATTTTGATTTTTACTTCGGGAATTCTTAAAAGAGTTGCCTGCAATCCCAGTGTTTAGCTGATTGCAGTTTGAAGATTATTAATTTATGGGCATTTGAATACACCAGTTTTTAAATGGGGAACAAAGCATTAATTATTGTAGAGTGTTAAGAAAATTTTTTTTTGTGAATCTGTTAGAAAAGTGATAAACACAAATGATGTTGCTCCTCATTCAAGTATAAAAATAATTTTAAATATGTTTTAATTTATTATTATTACAAATCATTAAAACAAATCTTCTCACTCATCAGGACTTTTGTTACAAAATGTGTCATTTTCTACATACAAACAATCTTCCCACTTCACCTATGAAGTTGCAGAATTATTGAAAAATGTTTTATTTCTTGTAGCTCTGTGTGATTCTGAGTCATAAGTAGATAACTTTAATATTTTGGAGCGGAAATTTAAAGTTGGCACTGTTGGTGAATTATATATCAAAGGTATTTTCAATAAAAATCCAGTAGTCGACAGCAGAGTAGACTTGTGCAGCACACTTCTTCATCAGACCTGTGTAGAGATCTGTCTCCTCGGCGACAACCTCTGCCGCTTGTCAATGGCTGTTGGTTGATCGCCGTTGAAGGTGATGGACCTGTTGGAGATGGTGGACTACGAGCTGGAGCAGATAAGCTTCGCTTGCTTGAACCTGTTATATAATAGAAAAAGAAAGCATTATTGAATATTACTTTGGTAATAATAATTAAAAAGAACATTGGTGATAATTTTATTATAAAAGACTTAAATGCTTTGCATCAGGGTTAACTTCTTAAATCGATGCTTAGCTTGCTTGGAGTAATTATAACATTGACACACAAATAGAATATAGACATTTACTGCTTATAGAGAAGAAGCATGGAATGCCATTATCAGTTATTGTTGTATTTGAGTGATCACGTATGGTATTATTTTAATGTAACTATAGTGGTATACTGTGATCGAGCCATATCAAATTTGTAACTTAAATGAACAACTGCTTTTTATGGTAGTTGTAGAGAGGCTATTTATCACCAGACATTCTTCTAGAGATGATAGAAGCTGCCCATTACCTGTTGTGATATATCACCCAGGATACTAATGATGGTAGCTATGATCCAGTCCTTCAGTTTCAACATTGTGGCAGAATTTCATCGTCTTCGAAAGCATGAGGCTTAGTTATTCGAAAGAAGCAACTCCACATCAAACCAGGATTGATATGTAGATGAAGCGTATGTAGAATGGGGAATGTGCTTTTTCCTGATAAGACTTGCTGTTTGGACTTTATGGTCCAAGATATATAAGGAAAATAAGTTAGAAAAAGTCTCTCACCAAAGCATATTAAGCAGATTTTGAAATACTCTTCCCTTCTCAAAGAAAGAGTTTTTTCTATTTATGGTTTAAGGTTATTTTTAACTTGGTATATTGAGTGTAGAACTCTTTGTATATGGTAGGAATGATAGGATTAGCAAAAATTTGTTAAAAGTTTAGAGAACAGTAATTTCAGCTCTGACAAAACTATGACTTGATGAAGGTGGAAATTTCAAAGCAAGATCGTATGCTATGCCACAAATTCCAAAAAGCAGCAATGCATTTCTGAAGCAACAAATGAATATTCTTCAATGATTCAACTCACATGATCTCAGGCCAGTCTTTGGCCAATCATGAATAGAAAGCTGAAAACAAGATACAGCATCAGGAAATCTCTTAATTTTCACTATAATCAAAGTTTAGATTAGATGAGGTGAAAGAGATGTGGGAAAAATATTTCATGTTAGGTGAACTTTAAAGGTTTGAAAAATTATATTTCATTAAAAGTACAATATCATTTAATCTGTTGCAATTAATTTACACACTGTTTGTATGGCTATTAGTGTGGGGAAGCAGCTGTTATTTCTATTGTTTTATGATATACAGCAAAGGGAAGAAATAAAAGGACATGAGAGAAATTTGAAAATGATGAAGGTTTTAGAAACCTATATCAGTTATTACTACCTTTTTTGCGGTGTTAAAATAATTTAAAAGCGAAAAGGCAAGATAGTCAAAAGTGTGTATATTAGATTTAATAGTATTAATTTCAATAAATTTGCAGTCAGTTTTTGAAGTTAAATATTAAAAATCTTTTATCTATTTGTGTCCTCGATTTCTGTAATAGTACTTGTAAAAGTTAAGTATGTGTGAAAGAGATATGTACTAATGAGGAAACCAATATTTTAATTTTGAGAATCTTTTTACCCTTCTGCAAACAGCTGTGGTATATCGACGACAGAATTAATAGCAGCTGAAAAACAGAATACGTGAATATATTTCCCTAAAATTTTCTCATTTGTTACTGTTTTTCTGCTTGAGGTCTTCTGTGTCAGAATTTATAATTAAATAGTCAATATATCATTAAGAAAATTCAATATATTAAGAATTCTATTCTATATTAAGAAGAGAAAATATTGTAATTTTAACATATTTATTTCGTTATTATCGGATAAAAGTCTGGCAAATAATGGGAAATTTGTATTATCTTTGGAAAGTATTAGATGGTTGATCGATGTTTCGTGGAATAAACGTTATGACTACTGAAGTAGTGAAAGATATATAATACCTTGTGATTTTCTTCTTCCTTTACGCCCTCTTTCTCCTTTGTCCATGGTATCCTCATTTCCAGACTCCTGGCTTGATGAAAGAGGTGTTCCTTCACTGTCTCGAAGCATACTTTCATAGCCACTGCTTGTTCCTGAAAACTGTTGTGTTTTGGCCCCTTTCAGTAGCAGTTCCTTGGCTTCTCTCGGTTCAATACTATTTACGCTGCTTTCGCTGCCGTGACCGCTGCTTGTCCTCTGGTGGTGATGGTGGTGATGATGACTTACATGCACCTGTGGGACTTTATAGTACGGAGATGCCAGAGTTCCAGAAACACTAGCATGCCGAACGACGTGATAATGTTCACTATCTGTGAAGTCTGTAAGTGCTGTATCACCGCTGTCTGCGCATGTGCTTGGTGAGCTAGTGCTCCTGCAGATACTTTTAGTCCTCTGTGACCTTCTACTCTCTTGTATTGATTGCTTCTGTTTACTGTGGCTCGAAAAAGGTTTACATTTTGGTGAAAAAGTTTTATCTTTTTGTTTCATTGTTGAGCAGCACATAGTTGTAATACCAGATGTACTGCTACTAGTTGGACTCGATCGTGCAGGATGTTTACAAGCCCCATTATTAATTGTCCTCGGGACTTTGTTGTTACCGTTACCGTTGCTAATGTGACATTTATTTGGACTTCGGATGGAACTACCTGTATGCGTTCCAGTCCTATGTGGCACTTTGGCTGGTGATGAAGATACTGAAGAATCTTTGCTCCATAGTGAAGGAGATGATGACTGCGTTAGTGGTTGCTGTGAATGGATGCTTTGTATATCATTCATTTTTGATTTACCTCTGTGTGTTCTAGATTTAGACGAAATGCTTGGGGATTGTCCAACAGTTAATTGACTTAAATCGATTCCCTTACATGATACATTCCTAGAATTATTTTTGGTATCGTTGCGTTTTGTAGTATCATTTATTTCTGTTGACTTTTTGGAATCTTTGCGATCTAAACTTTTCTTATCATCTAAACTAGTTTCCGTGTTAAGTTTTTGAGTTTTATTTGAAGTAATATTTTCAGATGAGCTAAGTTTTGTCGATTCTTTTTGAAGATTACTTGTAGAAGTGGGCTTATGTATGTGAGAAACAGAACTTGTTTGCCTAATATTTGCTTGCAACTTTGCACTGTTTTCATCTTGTCGAAAGCCTTCGATTGCTGGTTTCTGAGAAGACGCACTACACGACTGTTTATAACTCGAACTATTTTGCATTTCAATATTCTCTGACCTTTGAATTTCTTCCTTTTTTAACAAAAATGCGTTATCATGTTCGTATGCTAATGGAGGAACAACCTGAGTGGGTTTTATTGACGAATATTGTTCTAGAAAAGGGGGAACTTTTTGTATTTTTTTATAAAATGCTTCTAGTTTTAAACCGTTCATTGGTTTAATATTTAGTTTGTAATCGTATTTATCGATATCGAGATCAGCTGGCTCACTCTGCGTACTTGTCACTTCAGCTGCTGATAAATCTTCCATACTTGAGTCTGTACTTGCACACAGCATTTCTGACATTGTATAACGTGAACCTGATGATGCTAACCGAGTAACTGGGCAAGTTTTAAAAATCGATTCTATTTGAGTTTGATTTCGGTGTCTAGTTAAAGGTTGGATAAGCTCACGCAATTTAGCTATCCTTTCTAATTTATCATTAATTTCACTATTACTTACAGAAGTGAGATCTTCTATAATTCGACGTTGCCTCTGTTGTTGCTGTTCTTTAATTCTTTGAAACATGTTACCATAAAGTAGACGCCACGTTACAGCTCCTTTTCCTCTAACACCTTCCCGACATGTGTCTGGAACACTTATGCTGTCTAGATCCACGCTAACGGAACGTGAATCAGTAAAAGAAGAAGGAAGATTAAGATCTTCTTCACTAAGTATTCTTAAGGGATGTTCTTTACTGTCGCAGCTGCTTTGATCTACTTCAGGAAGAGGATTTTCTGAAGATTTTCTTCTACACTGCATCCAGTATTCCGCAATGATATCTTCTTCTGTAACTTGAAGACACGAATCTACCATTGGAACGGGCTCATCAGGTTCTGTGACTTCTATCGTTTCCAGACCTTCATCTAAATCTGCTTCGAGATTCTTAGAGCATAAAGACATATGTAAGGACTGATATTGCATCTCACTTTGTCCTATCTGTAGAATGTGTAAATCTGAATCATAACCACTCGCCTCCGCGTTTTCTTCGTTGTCTGTCTCATCGACATCCGCAGAATTACTAGCACTATCAGCTTCATCTTCAGCATTTTCGCATTCAAGTGGAAAAGAAATGCTTTCACTTGTACAAAGTGTCTTTTGTGGTTCTGTTTTATGAGATGAGCATCCAACACCGCTGGTTTTTCTGTCTTTTACACAAGATTTCTCCTCTTTTGAACCAGCGAGGTTAGATACATCCGATAAGCTTTTATGGATTTCGCGCGTGGAACTGCTATTTTCGGTTCCATCTGGTGGATAATCTATCCAAACCTCGTTGCTTTTCTTCTTCGTTGTGTTTTGAATTTGTCTAGAATGTTCTTCGATCCATCTTTGAATCATATTTTGTTTATGATGATCCATAAAACCATACATATTAGGAGGTCCATCTACCCATTGTTCCTTTTGAAGTTGATGTAATGTTTTGGAATCGAATTTAGGTTTCACGAATCGCGGTCCATCAATCCACGTCTCGTCACTTTGTGGTTTTGGTCCTTTTCCAGCTACTTGACCTTTACTTCCAGAAGCAGACTGTTCCGCATCCGTTGACTGATCTTGCTTGCTTTGAGAAGTACGATGTTTTGTCTTTTTCTGTGCGTGAATGGGACTGTTTTGTGCAGATTTAATATGAGACGTGCTTTCTGTCTGAAGAGTTTGGGTGCTGGCTGGTTGATGGCGTTGCAGCAGTGGAGAATTTTTTGAAGTAATTTGAGTCTTGTCTGCTTTACTAGTTTTAGTTGTGCAGGAATGATGTGTACCAGTATCCGCCGTTGAAGCATGAGGAACGCCGGAGGATTTCTCTTCAGATCTACGTTGATCATCGGTACCTGACTGTGTTTTGCTAAAAGAATTGTGCCTTTTTCTTTCAAGTGTTGACGTTGTTTCATTTGTATGAGAGGACTTACTTTGTGGCTGGGACTGTTTTGTCTTAGGAACTATGGGTAGAGCGGATGGTGGACCTTCGTTATCGGTAAAATCTCTATCATTGTGAGTTAGGTTACCGACATAGATTACTGTATCACATGACTGTTCGCTGCTCGACGTATAATCAGGATCACTACTGCCTGATTTGACATTATCTTCAGCGTGCATGCGGACATAGGGACGGACACAAGCTCCTTTCTCATCAGTGCTATCCATAGGCACATTTGAATACTAGAAATAGAAGACAAATATTATTATTAGAAGTGAAAAAAGGCTATTTAATATCATGAAAAACAATGTATAGTTTATATATTTAATTTTAAGCAGTTTTGGATTTAAAACTGTTAGCTACAGAAACATTTCAACAACAAAGCTTATTAACTATAATTTTAGTCAGTATTTTTTAAATTTTCAATAAAATTACCGAAATCTACAGCTTTTAAAATGCTAATTTGTATGAAAATACCACATTCCCCCCCCCAGCGTTTTAGCACCAGGTTTTGAAAATTTGAAAATTGTGTTTTAGCTCTGGTTTCATCAACAGATGGCGCTTTTAGCTTATCTCCTGTCCAGGCTTTCTTATCTTATCTGATCATTATATCCCATCTCGCTCATTTGCGCTTTTGCAGCTGATGATGATGGTTCGGTAAAACCATCGAAACTAGTCCTATGTTCGCGTTATTTTCCCTTCCTCAATGCGTTCACAGAAAGATCTCCCCGAAATTTTAAAGTAGGTTTGTCCACGTAGAGTTTGTTTTCATCTTATTAAAAGACACCCGTAAACTACCCCGCGAAGGTCACGCCGAACCTTTCTCTTCTAACTCTTGAAATTTATGCCAGCCTAATACAAGAACCGACCATCACAACGAGGCAAACACGAACTGAAATTCAGGCTACGATTTCGATCAGTTCCACATTCACCTTCTCTAATTATTTATGGAGGATTTGAGGCTTAAGGAGTGGCAGAGACAACAGTAAGAACGGGCGAGATCGAAGTTACAGAACACAAAACAGAAACAGAAATGAAAACAAAACAGAAATGAAGATATTTTATTAGATAGTGTGATGTTAATGTTACTATGTATTCTTATTGGAAAGTAGGTTTCTTTTAAAGAAATAATATTGTGATAATTACATGTAATTTTTCTATCACTACGTTTCATTTGCTATGCTCAGTAACAATAACAATAATAATAACACAAAATAAGGAAGAAAATAAGTAAACAGAAAAAGGGAAAATACTATGTCATTGGTCTAAATGGGGAAAATTTTGCGTGCTAGTACAACACCTCCTAACAGAAGAAAGCCAGGACACTGGATTGTGACGTCACAAGTAGTCGTCTGAGTCGAAACTCCGAGAAGGCAAAGAAACGAAATAGGTTACGCGCTAGTGCCGCACTTAACATTGCTTTCATTATTTGATATAGATATTTGGGTTGGATTTTATTCAAAGATTCAACACTTTTGTCGTTTATAACGCAAAACGATTAATATCGATCAATTAATGTTTCGAATTTACGATTTCAATTTCGATTAATTTATGTAATAGTTAAGAAAATAAAAATAAGATTTTTAAATTCTTTGGGCAAAGAAATGCTAAACATCATATTGTAGGTTATATTCAAAAATACCGTTAAACAGACGTTCACCGTTAAAACTATTTTAATTAATAAAAAATTACTCACAGAGAAACATTAGGAAATAAAACAACTTGTCCTATAAACTACTAACAACATATTGTGCATGAAGACAGTTGTTATTGGAATATGGTTTAATTTCTATCAAATATCTACTTCTCTGCTTATTAAAGAATAATTAAATTAAAAAAAAAAAAAGATTGTAGCATTCTGTAAAAGATAAGTATTCCTAAGATCGTCCTTTCTATTTCATGGTTTAAATAGTATGAAGTAACACTTCCAAAATTTAAAAAAAATTGCCTCTTTTTATAATTTTCTGTAGTTTTAAGTATAATTTTTATAATAAATACATTTTTGTAAGGAAAAAATATCTTACTAGTTGCCTCTTTCATAATTTTCTGTAGTTTTAAGTATAATTTTTATGATAAATACATTTTTGTAAGGAAAAATATCTTACTGTAGCACATAACATTATGAGATATATGATTGTTCTTATTTAAGCAGAGTCGTCTGACGAACCTACGTTCGTCAGACGACTGCCTGTGACGTCAGAGCTTCCTCTCGCTTCAGTGTCCTGGCTTCCTTCTGTAAGGAGGTGTTGGCTAGTATCGCTCGGAATCAGTTTATAACCACCATCAAACAAGTAAAGCCGTAGGTAATTTCCATCCGTAATGCCATCATTGGAATAGAGAACAGATGATATCATTCTAACATATTTTTTATATCTTTTAATATTTGATGGTATTATTTGTGAATATTATTTTATTATTTGCAAAGTAACTGCGTGACTGTTTGTAACTCATACATCTGAATAAAATAAAATAGCTTCTGTGATGAAAAAGATATCCATATTCCAGCAATAGCTGTTGCCTTCTAAAACAGCAACTGTTGCATGAAATGAGCACAGTTATTCAGCAAAGGTAGACTGCACAATTATTATATTAATTAAAAAGTATTTTACTTTATATTAAATGTCACAAAAGTATTTAAAACACTAAAAATAAAGGAGCATTTTAAAATAATTTTTTGAAAGAAATCATAAAGGCACTGGGCCATTAATTTCTGTGTTTTGATCATATTAAAATAAATCTCATGTGGACAACACTATTTCCTTGTATGGCCTATTAAATTATGCACATTTTTTACGGCACTTCATTTAAACTTATTTCATCGAATTATTCTAACTTAATTAACCGATCCCTCAAGGCAAGTTGAAAATGACATCAAAAATTGCAAATTTCCCGGTTGATTTTTGTCGAACGGGAGTCAAACTTCTTATAATTTTTATTTTTCATAGTATATATATATTTCATATGTAATGAAGAATAAAATAACTGAATCTTCTTCTATCTTTGTTAGTCCAAGGCTGTTAATTTCGTTTTCGCTTTTGCGTAGTTCCGATAAATGTCGTTTCTTTTTCAAAATTGTTGCCACCAACCGCCCCTGTGTTATATTTTAAGAATAAAATAATGAAGAATCTGCATAAATATATGTATGTTTCTCGCATTGTGGTAAAACGACGGTACCTAGAGCCATTCAATTTTGAATGACGTAATCCTACTGCGAATATGGGCATCTGGAAGCCCTAATTTGGAATTTGTTTTACCATCGATTTCATATTTTGTTTTTGATTAGCAAACTTCAAAGCGAGCAATGGCAACACTACGGTGGAGGGGGGGCATTATCTCCAGCGCGCGAGACTGTGTATCGGAAATTCTAAAGATACGCTCATTTTAAAGTTATTTTGCGATATTGCTGTTGAATTGAATTTTATGGTTTAAGGGCAAAGAATATGATATTTAATAAATAAAGGTAACACACAAAACGTACCTAGGGCGTGATATTTAGAATTTTTTAATATTATTTATTTATTTTTTAATCTTCGTTTAATGTTATCGCTGTCTCAAACATGAATATATAAATTCAGAAGTATAAATTCAGAAGTCAAACAACAAAAATCAGCGTTATATTTTCAAATTTTCACAGGACTAGTTTCGATGATTTTACCGAACATCATCATCTCAGCTTGCAAAAGCGCAAATGAACGAGATAGGATTAAGATCAGATAAGATAAGAAAGCCTGGACGGAGATAAGCTAAAGGCGCATCTGTGATGAAACCAGACTAAAACAATTCTTAAAGCCGAAGACAAAGATTATTGGTTAGGGTCATTAACTAGACCAGAAAGATTTTTGAATGTAATCCTCTAGAGAATCCATTTACCAGGAAGATGTTTTTGATAATTGGCAGCAAAAAATTGAAAGTGTGATTTCGGACCAACAATGTTGGGCAACAGAAGAGTTTCTGTGCTTCCTTTTTCCTAAATTGCATCATGTTCCTTGACGCGAAATTTTAAAGCTCTGTTAGTTTGGCCAACGTAAATTAAACCACATTGGCAAGGAATTATGTAAATACCCCAGGAATTCATATCTGGAATGGGGTCCTTGAGTATGGAACTCGGAATCCGGAATGGGGGTCCTTGGGTATGAAAATTTGAAAATATAACGCTGATTTTTGTTGTTTGACTTCTGAATTAGTATTTGTTCGGCGTGTTATTGTGTCTCAATGTATATACAACTTTAAAGTTTGATTTATTTTCTACTTTTTAATTCTTTCATTGCCATTCACATGCAATTTATATTCTTGGGAGTGTTACGTGTTCGTTTATTCGATTCTCTAAAGAATAGGAGGCTTACTAGTTAAAGAAAGAAAACAATTACTCCCCGAAAATGTGTTTAATCTATCCTTCAGTAGCAAGTAAGAATGAATAAAAGGGTTGAATCCGAAATCATGATAAATTACAAAAGAATGCTATATTTTTTCACATAATGGGCCTCATTGTTGTGCTGTTGTTGTTATTGCTGTTGCTAATGCTCACTTGTCTGACCTGTAGTCAGCCCAAGCCCACGAAACTCCTGGTGGTAAGGAGCGCAAGATATGCTTGTTGTTCGCAACCTGCCTTGAGCACCTTGCAGGTGACGGTGCAATTTAGTTCAGTTCCGCCCCCAATTTTGATGGAGAGCATCATGGAGGTAGAAAGTAAGGTGGAGTGGCCCTAAACAGGTTTCTCCCGTACCCTGCTCTGAAGCACCGGCGATCCCTACCTGGTGACCAAAACATTGGGTCATTTACCATTAAGTTCAATGGGTTTTGACGCGACCGGAGTAAAATTTTGTAATTACGTCGTAAATATACATATAAATGTATATTTTCTTTTTTACAACACTCAGAGTCTAATATATCAAAACACATATTTAAAAAACATTCATCTTGAACGGATTAAATCTATACTTTTTCACAGAACAGTTTTCTCCGAATGGTTAATTTGATGAAATATTTTCACAGTGTTTCGTTAAGTAAATTAGAAAAAAAATTAAGGTATTCGGTTTTTAATCGGTTAGGTACATAAATTAAGATCAAAGTTTATTGTATTATTAATATTAAAATATGCATTATTTCTTTTCTATTTATAGAGCTTCTTCCTATATACTTTCTTAAATATGACATGATTTTTTGGCTTCTTAGGCATCTTTTAAATCGAAAAATATAAGTCAATTTATAATTAATGCTCTATTCGGTTCATTTTAAATTAGAG